GGAGCAATGAGCCTTTTTCTTGTTTTCTCAACACAAAAAAAGATCGAATTTTAATAATTCCTGGCGGCAGAAGGACAGGGCAGTGATTTACTGACTATACGATTTTTACCAATTATTTTTTCCCGTGAGTACATCGTGTACTATGAACCCTGCTGTGTTGCAAATTTGTTTTTTTTTAGCGAAATACGTGCCCGCTTCCTTTCTTTCACTTTAACAACAATCTGTTTACTGTAAACATTTACCGTAAAAATGTTTCAGCTACAAGAGGTATATTATGCTAGTTAAACATGCTTTCTGGAGGAAGTCAGTACTTGTTGTTGTTGTTGTTATTGTTGTTGTTGTTGTTGTTGTTGTTGTTGTCATCGATCCAGCAAAAGCTGGGCTCTCGCCCTTCTATCCAATGCCTTGTAGTGATAAGTGCAGGTCTGCTGCAGAAAGTCAGTACTTAAAAGTATTCTTTTCGTAAGAGTTTTACGGCTCTTGCAACACAACAGGTCATTAAAATGTACAGTATAATGAAGTGACGTCGTTGGCCTTGTGGTTAGACTCTCCGACTACCGGACTAGTAGTTGTGAGGTTGTGAGTTCGGGGGTTCGAGCCTCAGCTCAGTCCGACGTTTTGACTATAACTATGGGAAAGACTCGTTACACGAAATTCCCATTTCAAACTTCCAAATAGTCTTGCTCGCCCAACAATTTCTTGGAAAATTTAAAAATAAATTGTATTGCGGTTTACATATTAGACTTCAAATTGTCACTTTTAAGGACAAGCGGGCTAACCCGGATTTCGGAGGTTTCCAGAAATCTTGACCTATACCAAAAGTGAACATTGACCTACCAAAAGGAGAAGTTTGTTTTCACTGGTGTGTATATTTGTTTGGTTATAGAGAAAACTCTCCTTGTATTATAAAGAAAATGAGCAAAATGGCAAAAACTTTATCTTCAATTTTCTCAAACAGCATTTTTTCGGAATAGCTCCATTGAGCTTAAACGCGACGAAATGTAAAGATTCAACATTAATTTATCAGTTTCGTTGCCTGAACCTCAAATTGTCGGGGTAGTCTGGTGCCCAAACTCCTCCCTGACGGAATGTGTGTATTTACGAGCTTATTATCCTAGATTGTAAACCTGTGCCTGGATATTGTCACGTGTAGAGGAAGATGGTTCTCCCCTGTTTCCTTTCAAGTCATTCAAACAAACATGAACCAAACAAAGCTGTACTCAGTTAGTACAATCGTGCGAAATTTGTGAGTGGAGATTGCCTCTATTTATATATCTGTCTATCTATCTGTAAGTCTATCTGTCTGTCTATCTGTCTATCTATCAGTCTGTCTATCTGTCTGTCTATCTATCAGTCTGTCTATCTATCTATCTATCTATCTATCTATCTATCTATCTATCTATCTATCTGTCTGTCTGTCTATCTATTTATCTATCTATCTATCTTACTAGCAACTATCTATCTATCTATCTATCTTACTAGTCAACTATCTATCTATCAATCTATCTATCTATCTATCTATCTATCTATCTATCTTACTAGTTAACTATCTCTATCTAATCTATCTATCAATCTATCTGTCTATCTATCCTTCTATCATTCTATATATTATGTACTATCTATCTCTCTATCTCTCTATCTATCTATCTACCTCACAAACGTAATGACAGAACGACTATAAAAGTACTGTTCAATGGCTGTTTCCAGCTACAAGCAATCGGACCGTGGTGGTTCAAGGGACTGATTAATGACCTCCAGCAGAGGGCTCCGGGTCGTAGATTGATTCCTGGCCTGGGCGCGCCGACATCAGAGCTCTCTTAAACAATCTTTTATTTGTAGAGAGGGGAAATGAATGTCTATGTTTAGACCACTGTCTTCTGAGAACTTGTGTGGTTGTTGTTTGTTGCTGTTGATGTTGTTGTTGTTGTTGTTGTCTTTTTTTCGGAGAAAGAAAGGCAGGGGGGGGGGGGGAGATAGAGAGAGAGATAGAGAGAAAGAAAGGCAGGGGGGGGGGTAGGGAGGGGGTTGGTGTTTTCTTTTTTTGCACTTTTATGTTCATTAGAATTCCTGCATAATATCTGGTTGCAAGGAGTAAGTTCAAAGCTCTTTTTAGCACTGAAATTTCTTGATGACCCTAGCTTAGATCTACCCGTAAGTCTGCGTGTGTGTGTGAGTGTGTGAGTGTGTGTGGATGTGGGTGTGTGTATGTGTGTGTGTGTGTGTGTGTGTGCATGTTTGTGTATGTGTGTTTGCGTGTGTGTGTGTGTGTGTGTGTGTGTGTTATGTGTGTGTGTGTGTGTTCGCGTGTGTGTGTGTTTGTGTGTGCGTGTGTGTGTGTGTGTGTGTATGCGTGTG